ACATTACTGTCTGTCATAGTATCAAAATTCAAAAGTTTCCATGTTAAATATATCTTATACCTATTATGGCTATCTCTCTACAAGAACATTAAAGTAAAATAAAGAAGTTGCTTTCTTTCTCTTCCAGATTGGAATGCATACCAGCTCCCATTGCCCATGCAATTGTCTTTTTCAGTTAACTTTTACTGATAAAGTCCCCATGGTCAATTTATCTCTCCTTTTCCTGAAGTGGAGTCCATATGAAAAGCTTAACCTTTTCCACACCTTAGTAAAAAATTCTTGACATTTTTTAAACTTCCTCCCTTTCTTCCAATTTTTGTATAAAATGAAAATGTATTAACAGTATTTCAGAAAAACTATTTCTTAACATTTATAAACATCTAGCAATAAGTTGTGTAACTTTTCTGGCTTTTATGAGATTTTATTTTTAAAGTTACATTTATATTATTAATCAAAATAAATATCTAAAATGATATGTGGCACCATCTGTTATGAGATTTTGTTACAAAAACTTTATATATTTTTAATTATTATAAAATAGCAGAAGACTTAATTTTGAGGGTAGAGAGGAGTTTTATAAAACACTAAATGCTAACAAGTAAAATCTTTATTAAAGCTGACTCCTCATAAGATATATCATGTGACCATCCTCAACCTCTCCATCCCCTTGACCTCTTATAACCAAAATTTAATAGCATCAATGCCCCTTATATATAAGCTATCGTGCCAAATTTGGTTTCTTTATCTTCACCCCCTCCTGAGATATTAAGTGAAATAGACACCAACAAAACACACATACATATCCACAGAATTTTTTTGCCATTGTTTTGACTTTTTTGGATTCATGGGGTCTCAAAATGTGAAGATTTGCAAAAAACTCAGAGGGTCAAATTTGACACAATTCCATTACTTTCCCATTATATATACATAACAGCCAGGAAATTTAAAAAAAATGAATTTGTAAATGCCAAACATTTACAAAAAAAATTTTTTTTTTATTTTTGCTCGTTTTGTGATTTGGTTGGCTGTCTACCAATCTCTTTTTGTATATGAATCTTTTTTAATTGTATAAAATTTAACTATCATATGTGCAATAAATAAATGTGCAAATATTTATATATGATTTATATAAAGATGATATTATATTTATTAAAAAGTATTATAATTATTACATAATAAACTTCTAGTTATAAAAATAATACTACTATAAATATTTAAAACAAATTTAGTCATCTTGTTAAAATTTGCTATATATTTAACTAAAGACTAGAAAATAACTTCCAATCAAAGAATAAAATATTTAGATCCAAAACTAATCTTCAATTTATTGGTTTGATAGCTAACTATCTTAAAAAGTATCAATGCATATAACACATGCAAATATTGTAAAGTTTTTTAACTTAAAACACTGTAATATTGTGCAGATTACTCAAAAAGCATATATCCTGCAGAAAATGACAAGAACAAAAATAAAACCTTTGTACAAGCTGTCCCACTATATACTCCATGTCCCTTTGAAAACAGGATAATTATCAATTTGTAATTTAGTGAAATCAAGCATTAAAATATTGCTTTTCCTGTTTAATTTCTAATAACAAATCATTGTAGATATACATAAACAACCAAGTCCAAATATTCTATAATCATCATATGATGATTATAGAATATTTTATGTATATTTCTGTATATTTCTTGGTTGTTTATGTATATTTCTGGATTATAATCATCATATTCATCTTATAATCATCATAACATGAATATGATGATTATAATCCAGAAATTAATAATTAATTTCTGGATTATAATATTCCCACTATAGTTTGGCTAGCAATTACTAATTAACATAAAAAATTTTCTTTAAAAGGTAGGCAGTTAGACTACTATTATATATTAACATTAAATAATAATTAAAATAATTTTTGAATTAAATTTAATTTAAAATAATAATTAACAAAATTGAAACTAATAATGACATTACCTTTTTGTTCAATTTTTAAACTCTGTTTTGTAGAAATCTGTTTTACATTAAACTAACATTTGTATAAAGTTTAAAATAATAAATAATTCTCAATATGACCACACCAATGGCCACTCTCATAATTCAATTGCAGGTGTTTATGAACTGTCTTAATTATGTAAATTAAATATAAAAATAAATATATTTTTATCATTTTTACTTTATGACTAATTTTCTTTGTCCAGTAGTATTAATAAAATTAACTAAGAAAAAATTAAATATTAAAATTATTTTCTGTTTAATTTTGTTCAAAACATTGTAACCTTTTAAACATGATTTTATCATGAGTTTCACTTGTTTTAATACCGTAATTTTGTAATGCATCATCAATTATTTTTAGAATTTTGTAGCAAGTCAATGATTTTAATATTTGTTCAAGCCATTAATGTTTTTTTTTGACTCATGTTTAGAATTTAAAATCAGCTTATATCATCATATAAGTGGCACTTCCTTTCAAATTATTTTTCAAGCACAGCTAACCTACAGTTTATCTGCACAAAATTATAGTAATAATCAATTTGTATATGAAGATTCTTAGGAGATTCTAACAGTATTATAATTAACAAAGCAAAATTTATAAATTGAAGAAATTAATTTATTCAAACTTACAATATCAGTCGTTCCCCCTCTCTGAACTGCTGAACTTGCAGATTTTCGGGGCATTGCTAAAAGTTTGTAATGAAGATTCCTGGAGATGTCATAAAAAGTTTATCTATAGGAAAAAATTAAACATTATTAACAGATTACATCTATCAAATCAAATGGTAAAAATTTTTCAATACCACAAATTAAATTTTAAAATATAAATAAATACCTTAAATTTTTATTGACCTTATTAATATCATTGCATTAATGAAATAAATATAGATGACATCAGTAGCAATTTCTTTGTTAAGCAATTTTTAGAAATTTAAATTTATGATTCATATGTACAAAAACAATTTTGCATAAGCAATGCTAATATTTGGTATAAATGTAATATACATTTACACAAAATATTAGCATTGTAGAAAATTTAACTATCAAAAATCTGATACTCAAGATTTATAAATTTCCATTTTATGAATATGTAAGAATGACAGACAATTTATGTATATAAAGCTTATATGCAATGTGTACATGTGTATATATATACAGTATAATAACCTCTAAATAGTAGATGCTGTCAGAATGGAGAAGTTTGTCCACTATTTGGAGGCACATGTCAGCAGCTATATTGTATTTAAACCCAGTCATTATAAAGTGAAAAATATGAGGGATAATGAAAACATCAAATTTGTGTTAGGAATGTGAAAATACCAAAAAGTATACATAGCATATATAATTAATATATATATACAGTATATTATTTTATGTTTTCAGCTGTAAAAATCACATTTTAATTGAATTCTAAATAGCAAACAGATTGTATGGGATACTTTAATTAAATAGAACATAAAAATTACAACAAAACATAAGCATTGATTAATTATTAATTCATCAAAATGACCTGAGTGGAAGTAACGAAAAAGAAAAATAAAACTGTTATCGTGAACAAAAGAGTAGATGATGGTTTAGGTCAGGAATGGCCAACATGTACACCGTGGTTGACCACAAAGGTTTTTAAAGTAACCCGCAAAGCTAAAGTTGAACAATTTGCTTTCACTTAATGTTTAAAAATCTTAATTCGATAATTTATTCTTACAATAATAGACTGTCTGTGCAACGTACCCATACTGTTTGTATTTATCCCGATGAACAATGCAAATGAATGTTAACGCATGCGCATATAAAAATCCTAAAATTGTTTGCCCATATTCATAGTCGCCCGCAGACCATATTTTACCAAAAAAGTAGCCCCTAAGGGATAAAAGTTTGGCCACATCTGGTTTAGGTGATGAGAGTGTGAATGTCAAGTTATGAAGGTGATTTGCTAGCCACTTCAAGGGATAAGAAATGTATTCAGTATTCTTGCATTTAGATCATCATTTATGATCTAAGCAAATAATAAAAATTGATATAGTGATTTAGTTATCGAGGTGTAATTTTTTCAAGCATTTTTGTTTTTTTCAATAAATGATTTATTAAAAATTATACAGTCGACCCCCTATAAGATATAGATACGTTCCATTCTTTAGGAATCCGATTTCTTACGAGTCGTTCCAATCACAGCCCGACACATGTCAAGTTTACGGACTACGGCTGATTGAAAGGTTTTCTTCCATAAAATTAATCGATTCTAGACTAATCCGACTCAACATTTCCAAAATACGTATATTTTTTTTGGAAATAATCCGTATAAACTACGCTATAAATAAAAAATTGTAGGATTACTTACCGAGTGTCACCATTCGACATCGCCATTGCTCAACATTGTTTTCGTCGCGGA